GGTTGGCCCGCTTTCACCTCCATTCGCACCCGTCTGTGGCTTCCTTCGCCCTCGTGAAACTCCAAGACGTGACTGCATTGCGCGTTTAGCACAGAGTCGTAGAGTCCCTCCGTCATTACGTCTTCTACCGTGCTGGTGAGGGGCCACCGTTGCCGTTGCGGTGTTTCCTCGACCCTTCGGCGCTGCGCTGCTGGCCGCTGCGTGTCGCCACCGGGCCCCAGCCTCGACCGGCGCCCTCTCCGCAGCACGGCATTCGCGGGGCGCTCCGCAGCAGCGGCAACTTCTTCCTCGCCTCTTCCAGACATTCTTTTCTTAATATTTTTTTCACTTCCCTACTTACTGTTGGCTTGCGCCGCAGCCGAACACCAACCACCAGCCAAAATGAACATGAGAAGAGGAGAAAAAGACAAAAAACTAGGCACAGAGACACACGACCCCCACGCAGCCGCATTCAGCAAGAGAGAGAGATAGGACCACCGCAGCCCACACACACGGTGCAGGACACACACGCACACACTCACTGCACGGGGGCGGCGCCACTTCGCCCACTGTCCTCCTGCCGACGCAGCCAAATGAACCCCCACCACCGCATCGTGCGGCCCCGCCACGCGCCCACGAAGCTCGCCCCTCTTCTGGGAGGGGTACGTACGTGAGAGGGCGTGGGGCAATAGAGAGACAGCAACGATGATGCTCCTTCTCTTCACGCGCAGGCACCACTCACCCGCGGGGAAGGAAGGGCCACCGCCTCGTTGCGGTGTCACGTTCTGCCGCAATGCGCTCAGGCGAGGAGAAAGAGCACACCAGGCGGCTGCCCACCCGCAAGGAAACAAAAAGCCAGGCGCGGCGCAATTTTCCTCTCTTCCCTCTCGCTGTGCCTGTTCCCTTCATGCCCACGGAAGGAGGCAGCAGCCTCCACCACACGCGGCGCCGTCAGCAGCGACTACGAAAGCGGCATCCACGTGGGCCACAAAAGTTAGATATCACGACGGCGTGGTTGTGTGTGCCTACAGCTACGCAAAGAAAAGAGGGAAAAGAACAAAACATGCGAAGGGGGAAAAAAACCAACACACAGCAGCGATGCAGTAGAAAAAAGAGTAAAGAGCAAGACCGGGCGAGACGCAAGATTGTATCAGAGCACAAGTTGTTGAAAAACAGAGTAAGTGTGGGCAAAAAGAGTTTTTTTTTTTTGCTTCATAATGACTCCAAATGATTCCATGTTTCTGTTCCGTGGATGGAGTAGTGTCCTACAATGGGGAGTACACACGTTGGGCCAGTTCCTGTCAAAAAAAAGCCATGAAAGCGTGCATGTACCTCCCACTTAGCGACCCCTTAAACCAACCAGTTCATAGAAAAAAAACATTGATAATGTAGAAACCAAAAAAAAATCCCATTGATTTACAAGCAAGCAAGAATGTAGCACAGACGCTGATCGCGTAAGCGCCACCACAAGAAGCGGTGACTGTTAGGCAGTCACTTTGGCTGCGGGCGCGACAACCATCGGCGGTTGAGAACGTCATTCAGCGAGCAGACGTCAGGGAAGCGCACCGCATTAGCTCGCCGAGTCACATCATACACGGACAAAGAGGCGTTCTGCAGCAAGGCTCTCGCCACCTGAGCAAAGGTGGGATAGCACCGCAGCGGATGAAACCATTGTGTGTAGTTCAGCAGTCCAGGCAATTTTTTGCGCCACTGCGTGTATGCTCCGGGAAAATGAATGACCGCCGGAGACCCAAAAAGCCCTTTACGCGGCGTGAGAAAGAAGGAGTTGTTGTAGTCAAGGCTCAGAAGGCCGTAACGTATGCGAAGGGCGGGATCCACAACAGGGTCCTGAGTTACGCTCCACACAAACAACAGCGCCCAGATGCTCTGGTCGCACCACCACTCATCACTCTTCGCCAAAAGGCTCGCGTAGGCCTTGGACGCCTCTCGAATCGCCCACACACGCCCCACCATTCCGCCAGCAGCGAGGTAGCGATACCCCGAAGGCGGCGATTGCACCAAGCGCTGGTCCGCAGAAGAGTTCGCGGCCTTCCATACAAGTTCGTAAAACCAACGGCACCGCTCAAAGTGACCTGGATGCTCCGAAGGACCACGAGGTTTATCTGCGGTGCGAAACAGACCGAATCGCTCTCAAACAGCATGGGGGGACTTGCCTCGCCTCGATGCACCGCCGTGGCGTTGAAGGCGTCTGCGCTGGGCGCCGTCGCTGTCAAGAAGCCCTCCACAGCCCGCTTTGCGGCAAGAGGTCCGGTAAAAAAGGTGTCAGCGCCGTCGAACGTCACCACGACATCCTCGTCCCGCAGTCCCGCCTCCTCCATGTAGTTCAGCAGCCAC